GATGTTCCATGAATCAAAGAATCTTGGAGGGAAAATACTTTCTAACTTGCATATTATGAATTCTATATTTTGCTCCATTCTAAGTAAATCATGCATCCACAAGGTATTACAACATAAATCTCTAAAAAATCCACTTAATTCAGCAATAGGATTCCACACACATTCTGGCAATGCACGAAATGCAGTTGGGAGAAGACGCTCCATGAATACATGACAATCATGACTCTTCATCCCATGCATAGTTCCTCGATCAAGATTGGCACACCTAGCTAGGTTAGAGGCATAACCATCTGGCATTTTTAACTCAGTAATCCATTTATAAATTGATTTTGCTTCTTTTGACGAGTAAGTATAGTTTGCCTTAGGTTTTTCCCACTTCCCATTAGGTGATTGAATCAACTCTAAGTCCCCACATGCACAAATGTTAGAAACATCATTTATTTCCTTTTCATTGTCTTTTGTTTTACCCTTGATATCCATTACATTGCTGAATACATTATCAAAAAAATTCTTCTCTATGTGCATTACATCAAGGTTGTGTCTTAATAAGTTATCTTTCCAATATGGAAGATCCCAAAATATAGATCTTTTAAATCAATGATGAAGTTGCCCATACCCTGGCATATTCGGTTAAGGACCATCTATCACTTTAGGAACATTGTGGATAAATTCCCATATTTGTTCTCCTTTCAAGAAATAAGGCAGTCCATCAAATTCAGTTTTATTCCTTGTAAATCTCCTTTTACTTTTCCTAAAAGGATGGTCTACTGGCAAGAACCGTTGTTGAAAATCAAACCATAAAGGTTTAACACCATTATCTAATTGGAAGGCTTTTGTGTCTGTCATACAATGAGGACATGCTAATTTGCCTTTTGTTCCCCATCCAAACAACATGCCATAAGCTAGAAAATCATTTATTGTCCACATCAACCACGCACGCAAGATGAAATTTTGTTTTGTGGAGATATCATACGTCAACACCCCACAATCACACAACAATTTTAGGTCATCAATTAGAGGTTGCAAGTACACGTCTATTTTCGTTGTCAGGTTATGCGGACCAGGTATAAGACAAGTCAGAAACAAGTATGGTTTGGTCATGCACATTTCAGGAGGAAGGTTGTAAGGCGTAACAATTACAGGCCAACATGAGTATGGGTTCGTCGATGCTTGAACATAGGGTGTAAACCCATCAGAACATAGAGCTAGTCTTATATTTCGTGGTTCACTTGCAAAATCTAGATAAACATGATCAAAATGTTTCCATGCTTCCCCATCACATGGGTGTCGTAGATCAGTAGAATTATTTTTGTTCTCGTGATGCTATCTCATTTGGCTTGCGGTTTCCATTGATGCATATAGTCTTTGTAATCTTGGAATGATTGGCAAGTAAAACATTCTCTTCACCAAAATGTTTTTGTATCTTCCCTTTCCCAACTTAGGAGGTAAATACCTTGGACTATGACAAAACTTGCATTCAGTTAAATTTTTGTCCTCTTTGTAATACAACATACACCCATCCACGCAACAATCAATCTTTTCAACTTTCAACCCCAATTGCGACACCAACTTTTTTGCTTCGTAATAGTTCTTTGGTATACAATTATTTTTTGGAGCTACATCAACTAACATTTGTATAAAATAATCTAAACATTTTTCAGGGGCATGCCAATTGGTTCTAGCTACCAAAAGCCTTACAACAATTGATAATTTGGATTCAGTTGCTTCTTCGTATATTGGTTGGTTTGCAAAGGCTAGCATGTCATAAAATCTTTGGGCTTCTGGATTCGGAGACTCATTGTCCATATCTGCATTGATATGTGATTCATCACCCATATGTGTGTGTGCATCATACACCATTCAAGTCACTGATGCAAATTGATTCTCACAACCTATAGATGAAGAGTTACTAGATGACCCAGATTCTAAATTTGAGACATTTGGCCCATCTTCTCCATGTTCAATCCAGACCCAATAGTTCGGTTTAAACCCATGTTGTAACGCCATGGAAATACTGAGCTATTTGGTAGATATACTCTATATATATGTATGTATGCATATATGTATATGTTGTTTATATGGATTTGGATTGGATTATGGAGATATGGATTTAAAATGTACTTAGCTCTGTGCATGTTGTATGTTGATGTAGTTTTGACTAGTTGTTTAAGCATAGTAGTGATTTTGTAGTATGAGATGAGATGTTGATGTTTTGAGATGTTGATAGAGGCATGTGTGCGCATGAATTTGGTGAATGATGCATTGTCCACCATTATACTAAATTGGTACTAAGAGGGAAGAAGACTGATCACCTTCCTTCTCATCTTGGTTAAGTGAAGTATTATGGCATGCAACTCATTATTCCAAGCATATGTATCTGAAAGTGATGTTTGTTTTGTGTGTTGATACATGATGCATTTCATATGGTGTTGGGTTGTGGATATTGTAATAGAAAAGAATAGGACAGGTAGGAGATTGAAGGATAGAAACATAAGATAAATCTGGTCTTTCTGAGTGAATTTGAAGTTGTTTTAGAGCTTAGGGAGTTGAAATACTTCAAGGAATAGGATATTTTAGGTGAATAGGAGCTAAGGGTGAAATTTGAAAATTTTGGAAAATGGCTATATATAGGGACTTAGGACCGGAGGGTCTCATTTGTCAGACAGGGACAGTTCTAGAGAGAGAAAGTAGAGAGAGGGGCTCTAGTCCGGAGGGAAGTTGAGGACACATTTGGGAAGCTTATCAAGCTAGGATCAATCTTCACAACTAGAGTTTCAAGAGATTCAACCTTTAAAGCCTTGAAAAGTGAGATTGAAGTTTGAATTGGGAATTTGAGGGTTTTGTTCAAATCTTACATTTCTGAAGTTTCTGAGGTAAGGGTAGTACTTATAAGACTTAATCTAGTATGTATGAAGTTGAAATATCACATTGATTCCATGTTTTACGCATGATTGAGGCTGGAGAGGGTTTGGTTAGGGTTCTTCATGATTTCCTACGATTTTCATGGATTAATTGTTAATACTTGTTTTTGTCACTTAATATGTTGTTTTTGGATGGTGTTTATACTCTATAATGGTTCGAAATTGTATAAATTTGGTTTGGGATTCATTTGGGATGGATTTTGGGGTTGAAAATCAGAGTTTTCGAACTTTCGACGCGCTTTCTAATGCATGCGCGCTGAGTGCACGCGACGACGCGCTGAGTGCATTAAAGAACAAAACTTTCTATCAAGATGCGCGCTGAGCGCACGCGACAACGCGCTGAGCGCATTGAAGAACAAAGCTTTCTGTCTAGAACGCGTTGAGCACATTTATCCATGGGCTAAGCGCATTTCGAAATGGGCTGAGTGCATGGGTCTACACGCTGAGCGAGATTTTTCTAGTGGCTTTCTATCTCAAGCACGTTGAACGCATGAGTCTACGTGCTGAGCGCATATAATCATGGGCTGAGCGCACGTGGTGATGCCCTGAGCGGGAAAAGCCTGATAGGCTCCCAATTTTAGTTGTGCTTGGCGCAAATAGCACTGCGCTAGGCACATGGTTTCTTTGAGGAAAACCTTTTATAATTGAGTTTTTATGAAAATTTTAAATGTTGAATCATATCATCTTTGATGTTATATATTTGGTATGGAATGTGACATGGTTTTGAAAAAGATTGCATGTAATTATGGAATGTGCTTATTTGTGTTTGGTTTGGAAAGCTAATAGGACTTAGAGGAGTAAGGTTATGGTATGGATTGGAATATCTCTTAGTGAGATTTGGATATAATCTTTGAAAAAATATGGAAATTGGGAGTCCTATGGTGACGATTCCAATATGGAACTTTCCAAAGATTATATAATAAACCACTTTAGATGTTAGGTGGATTCTGAAGTACTCCTCTAAGTATTCTAGTTGCTACCGGTATGGGGGTAAGGCCGAGTCATACCGATGGATGAAGTGGCCGCGATCACCAGGGTTACGTGACGACCTAACCCAACTGTCTATTTTCCATGAGAGGCTAGGTGTGTGACATGGGCAGGTGACATGTTCACGAATTCAACACTTGGTTTGGATGTGTTGAGGTCAACATTTGGTTTGGATGTGTTGGCTACTTCATGGGATTATACAGTGGTGTGACTTTGGTTTGGATGTGGAATATGTATGCATTTGGTATGGTTTGTATACATTGGTTATGGATTCTTTATTATCATAGAATATGTATACATTGGATTTTGGATTGGTTTATATTTGGCATGGAAATGACTGGTTATCATGTTGTCATTCCCTTGGTATGGATACATACTGTTGATGAATATCTAGTTTAATGATATTTCATTTTATTGTACTATAGTTGGTTTTATACGTGTTAACCCTTATATTTCCATGATGTGGACTGTGATGATCTCACTATGTGGGGGAGCAGATCAGGTGTGAGGCTTTGGGATGGCAAGGAGTCTTTTTGGGTAGCTGCTTTGAGAAGTGACTAGACTTAGAGCTTGACCATCACCTAGGGTGTCTTATTTTGATACTTTCATGATATTGTAATTATATTATCTTTTTGGATTATTGTGTAACCTTGCTGATGATGACCCTTTTATAAAATTGTTTTATATTATGGAAATATTTTATACGTTATTGTATATTTGCACTCTGGTGTAGCTGGCCTTTGCTCTCTTTTCTTAATTATATATTATTTTATTTTAGTTATCATATTGGTTATTGATGTGACGGCCTACGGCGGGTCGTTACACTTGTTGGTATCAGAGCTGGTCAAGTCTTTTTAGGGTTTGTGGAAAATGGTCTTGTTATGTTTCTGTTGTGAGGAAATGGATTTTGGAAATGAATTTCTTATGTGTTTTGGTGTAAACTCATGGGTTCCTTGATCATTTATCTTGATTAGGATGGTTGGTAGGGGAAACCATTCTAATCCTTTTTCAGGTGTGGATGAGCGGCAGATTGCTCAGGCTATGGAGCTAATTGCTGCTGCTATTGGACAATAGAATACTTTGTTGGCTCAGATGGAGACCAATTGGGCTACAGCTGAAGCAGCTAGGGTTGAGGTACTTGATGATTATAGGGGCTTGTCAGAGTTCAGAAAAGGGAATCCTCCTCAATTTACAGGTGTTGATGGACCTGAAGTTGTTGACCAGTGGATTGAAAAGATGGAGAAAATCTTCATGGTGATGCATTGTCTTGAGGAGAGGAAGCTAGTTTATGCTGTTTATATGTTGGTGGGTGAGGCTAGCTTCTGGTGGAAAGGTGCTCAAGCTATGATGGAAGCTAGAGGGGAAGTGGTGAATTGGAAAAAATTTCAAAAAGGTATTCTTAGAGAAATATTTTCCAGATAGTGCCAGGTATGCTAAGGAAGCTGAGTTTTTGAGACTGCAGCAAGGAAATATGTCAGTACAAGAGTATGTGGTCAAGTTTGAACACTTGGCTAGATATTATTCTCAAGCTATCACTGAAGCCTGGAGATGTAGGAAGTTTAGTGAAGGTTTAAGGTATGAGCTGAAGAAGACTATTGTTCCTATGGGGATTGTGGAGTTCCCAGTTATAGTTGAAATGGAAAAATCAGTTGCTAGGTTTGAAGGAGGAAATAGAGTGGCAAAGGGTCCAGAGGGATCATCTGGATTTGGTAGGGGGAAACATCCCCAAAAGAGACCATCTCAATTTCAGAAGGGGAATGCTAATAAGAAACCAATGGGGACTAATACTATAGGAGCTGTTCAGAGTTTTAGATGTTACAGATGTGGAGGCCCACATATGATGAGGGATTGTCCTACAAAGGACTATACGTGTTTTAAATGTGGCAAGGTGGGTCACATGGCTAAGGATTGAAATGTAAGAAATACTCAAGCTAGAGGAAACCAGAAAGTGGATTGGCCTACTACAACAAGTCGTGTTTTTGCTTTAATAGGTGCTGAAGCTGAAACGTCATCTGAGCTGGTAAAGGGAAAGGGAAAAGCTGATGGTAATGATATTTCTATTCTATTTGATTCTGGTGCTTCACATTTTATTTCTTATGAATGTGTGGCAAGGTTAAATTTGGTTGTGAGTTCCTTGTGTGTGGATCTAGTCATTTCTACTCTAGCTTCAGGTTTTGTTTTAACTTTTGAGGTTTGTTTGAAATGTCTAGTGGAAGTGGAAGGGCATTGTTATAAAGTGAATTTGTTTTGGTTACCTTTATCTGATTTGGATGTAATTTTAGGGATGGATTGGCTTTTTGCCAACAAGATTTTGATAGATTGTTCAGAGAAGAGATTAATCTTTCCTACTGTTGAACATGAGAGATTTATTTCTAGTGGACAGGTGGATGGGTTGTTGAAGGGTGGAGCTCTTGGGTTTATAATCCCATCTTTTATCAATGTAGAGAATGAAAAGTTGTTGAATAGTATTGTTGTTGTTAAAGATTTCTCAAAGGTTTTTCCGGATGATGTTCCGGGGTTACCACCAAAATGAGAGTTGGAGTTTAGTATTGATCTTATACCAGGGGCAGGACCAGTGTGTATTTCTCCTTATAGAATGGCACCAGCAGAGTTATTTGAATTGAAGAAGCAGGTTGAGGAACTTTTGGAGAAGCAGATGATCAGACCTAGTGTGTCTCCATGGGGAGCACCCGTGTTATTGGTAAAGAAAAATGATGGTGGTGTGAGGTTATGTGTGGATTATAGGCAGTTAAATAAATTGACAATCAAGAATAAGTATCCATTTCCAAGGATAGATGATTTGATGGATCAGTTGAGGGGAGCTTCTGTTTTCTCCAAGATTGATTTTAGGCCTAGGTATCACCAGATTCATGTAAAGGAGGAGGACATACCAAAGAATGCTTTCAGGACTCGGTATGGCCATTATGAGTATGTTATTATGCCTTTTGGAGTGACGAATGCTCCAACTATTTTCATGGATTATATAAACATAATTTTCAGACCCTTTCTGGATAAGTTTGTTGTGGTGTTCGTTGATGACATTTTGGTTTATTCTGGATCTATGGAGGAACATAGAGAACATCTAAGGATAGTTTTATAGGTATTGAAGGAGAAACAGTTATTTGCAAAGTTGTCAAAATGTGAGTTTTGGCTATCTGAAGTTAAGTTCTTGGGTCATGTGATTTCTACACAAGGAATTGTAGTTGATCCTACTAAGGTGGAAGCGGTTTTGAGGTGGGAGTGTTCGAAATCAGTTACTGAAGTTAGAGGTTTTGTGGGATTGGATGGCTATTATAGGAGATTCATAGAAGGGTTTTCTAAAATAGTTATGCCTTTGACACAACTGACCAGGAAGGATCATCCTTTTGTATGGACGGAAGAGTGTGAGAAGAGTTTTCAAGAGTTAAAGGAGAAGTTGACGTCATCTCCTGTGTTGATTCTGTCGGATCCCAATAAATCTTTTGAAGTTTATTGTGATGCATCTCATCAAGGTTTAGGATGTGTTCTTATGCAAGATAGGCAGGTTATGGCCTATGCATCTAGGCAATTAAAGACTCATGAACGAAACTATCCTACGCATAATCTAGAGTTGGCTGCGGTGGTATTTTCTTTGAAGATTTGGAGGAATTATCTCTATGGAGCAAAGTTTGATGTGTTCAGTGATCATAAGAGTCTGAAATATTTGTTTGATTAGAAAGAGTTAAATATGAGGCAAAGGAGGTGGATTGAGTTTTTGAAAGACTATGATTTTCAACTAATGTACCATCCAGGTAAAGCAAATATGGTGGCAGATGCTTTGAGCAAAAAATCTCTTCATATGTCTTACATGATGGTTAAAAAGATGGAGTTGGTAGAGAAATTTAGGGATATGAATCTTAACGTTGTGGTTGCCCCAGATTTTATTAGTTGTGGTATGACTACCATTACTAGTGATTTCTTGGAGATGGTGAAACAAAAACAAGTTCAGGATGCAGATTTGAATAAGGTTAGAGAGTTGTTGGGTTTTGAGAAATATGAAGGATTTGAACAAGATATGGATGGAGTTTTGAGGTACAAGGGCATAATTTGTATTCCACAAGATGAGGAGTTGCAGAAGTTGATACTTGAGGAAGGTCATAAGAGCAAGTTGAGTGTACATCCGGGTATGACAAAGATGTATCAAGATTTGAAGAGAATGTTTTGGTGGAATGGTATGAAAAGGGAGGTAGCCGAGTATGTTACATCTTGCATTGTGTGTCAGAAAGCTAAGGTAGAACATAAAAAACCAGGAGGTTTGTTACAGATGATGGAAGTGCTAGAATGAAAATGGGATAGTATAACCATGGATTTTGTTGTTGGATTACCAAGGTCTGCTAAGAATTGTGACTCTATTTGGGTGATTGTGGATAGATTAACTAAGTGTGCTCATTTTCTTCCAATGAATATAAAGTGGTCCTTGGAAAAGTTAACTCAATTGTATGTCAAGAAGATTGTTAGATTACATGGTGTGCCCTCCAGTATCATTTCTGATAGGGATCCTCGTTTTACATCCCGATTTTGGCAAAGTTTGCACCAGGAATTAGGGACTAAGTTGAGACTCAGTTCTGCTTATCGCCTACAGACTGATGGGCAGTCTGAGAGGACTATCCAATCTTTGGAGGACTTGTTGAGGGCTTGTATTTTGGATCATCTAGGGAGTTGGGAAGAAATATTGCCTTTGGTCGAGTTCACTTATAATAACAGTGCTCATGCAAGTATAGGAATGGCACCATTTAAGGCTCTATATGGGAGGAAGTGTCGAACACCTTTGGGTTGGTTTAAAGAGGGAGAATCAATGATAGTAGGGCCAGAGATCATCTTACAGACTACCGAAAAAGTGAAACAAATTCAGGAGAGAATGAAAGCTGCTTAGAGTCGGCAAAAGTCTTATGCAGACAAGAGGAGGAAACCTTTGGAGTTTTCAAAGGGAAAGTATGTATTTTTGAAGGTGACCCCCACTACAGGTGTGGGAAGGGCTATCAAAGCTAAGAAGTTAAATCCTAAGTTTATTGGGCCGTATCAGATTCTCAAGAGGATTGGACTAGTGGCATATCAGATTGCATTACCTCTATTCCTGTCTAATCTGCACGATGTGTTCGATGTGTTTCTCAAAAGTTAAATTCTCCTTAACTTGCAGTGTCGCTGATTCTAAAACATGACTTGGATCGTGAATATACTTCCTTAGTGGTAGATAAGAAAGTTAAACAGTTGCGGGGTAAATTTATCAATTTGGTAAAGGTTATTTGGGATGAGTTTACTAAAAAAGCCACTTGGGAGTTGGAAGATAAGATGAAGGATCAATACCCATATCTCTTTTTGAGTAGGTAAATTTTCGGGGACGAAAATTTTGTTGTTGGGGAGAGTTGTAATGCCATGGAAATCCCGAGCTATTTGGTAGATATACTCTATATATATATATGTATGTATGTATGCATGTATGTATATGTTGTTTAGATGGATTTGGATTGGATTATGGAGATATGGATTTGAAATGTACTTACCTCTGTGAATGTTGTATGTTGATGTAGTTTTGACTAGTTGTTTAAGCATAGTAGTGATTTTGTAGTATCAGATGAGATGTTGATGTTTTGAGATGTTGATATAGGCATGTGTGCGCATGAATTTGGTGAATGATGCATTGTACACCATTATACTAAATTGGTACTAAGAGGGAAGAAGACTGATCACCTTCCATCTCATCTTGGTTAAGTGAAGTATTATGGCATGCAACTCATTATTCCAAGCATATGTATCTAAAAGTGATGTTTGTTTGTGTTTTGATACATGTTGCATTTCATATGGTGTTAGGTTGTGGATATTGTAATAGAAAGGAATACGATAGGTAGGAGATTGAAGGATAGGAACATAAGATAAATTTGGTCTTTCTGAGTGAATTTGAAGTTGTTTTAGAGCTTAGGGAGTTGAAATACTTCAAGGAATAGGATATTTTAGGTGAATAGGTGCTAAGGGTGAAATTTGAAAATTTTAGAAAATGGCTATATATAAGGATTTAGGACCGGAGGGTCTCATTTGTCAAACAGGGACACTTCTAGAGAGAGAAAGTAAAGAGAGGGGCTCTGGTTTGGAGGGAAGCTGAGGACACATTTGGGAAGCTTATCAAGCCAGGATCAATCTTCACAACTAGAGTTTCAAGAGATTCAACCTTTAAAGCCTTGAAAAGTGAGATTGAAGTTTGAATTGGGAATTTGAGGGTTTTGTTCAAATCTTGCATTTTTGAAGTTTCTGAGGTAAGGGTAGTACTTATAAGACTTAATCTAGTATGTATGGAGTTGAAATATCACATTGATTCCATGTTTTACGCATGATTGAGGCTGGATTGAGCTGGAGAGGGTTTGGTTAGGATTCTTCATGATTTCCTACGATTTTCATGGATTAATGGTTAATACTTGTTTTTATCACTTAATATGTTGTTTTTGGATAGTGTTTATACTCTATAATGGTTCGGAATTGTATAAATTTGGTTTGGGATTCATTTGGGATGGATTTTGGGGTTGAAAATCGGAGTTTTCGAACTTCCCATGCGTTGTCTGATGCATGCGCGCTGAGCGCATGCGACGGCGCGCTGAGTGCACTGAAGAACAGAACTTTCTGTCAGGATGCGCGCTGAGCACACGCGACAACACGCTGAGCGTATTGAAGAACAGAGTTTTCTGTCTAGAGCACGCTGAGCGCATTTATCCATGGGCTGAGCGCATGGGTCTACGCGCTGAGCGGGATGTTTCCAGTGGCTCTCTTTCTCAAGTGCGTTGAGCACACGAGTCTATGCGCTGAGCGCACGTAGTGACGCGCTAAGAGGGCAAAGCCTAATAGGCTCCCAGTTTTAGTTGCGTTGGGCGCAAATACCACTGCGCTGGGCGCAAATACCACTGCGCTGGGTGCATGGTTTCTTTGAGGAAAACCTTTTATAATTGAGTTTTTATGAAACTTTTAAATGTTGAATCATATCATCTTTGATGTTATATATTTGGTATGGAATGTGACATGGTTTTGGAAAAGATTGCATGTAATTATGGAATTTGCTTATGTGTGTTTGGTTTGGAAAGCTAATAAGACTTAGAGGAGTAAGGTTATGGTATGGATTGGAATATCTCTTAGTGAGATTTGGATATAATTTTTGGAAAAATATGGAAATTGGGAGTCCTATGGTGAGGATTCCAATATGGAACTTTTCCAATGATTATATAATAAACCACTTCAGATGTTAGGTGGATTCTGAAGTACTCCTCTAAGTATTCTATTTGCTACCCGTATGGGGGCAAGGCTGAGTCATACCGATGGATGAAGTGGCCGCGATCACCAGGGTTACGTGACGACGTAACCCAACTCTATATTTTCCATGAGAGGCTAGGTGTGTGACATGGGCAGGTGACATGTTCACGAATTCAACACTTGGTTTGGATGTGTTGAGGTCAACATTTGGTTTGGATGTGTTGGCTACTTCATGGGATTTGTTCCTATCGTAAGTCTGCTGTCATCGTTAAGGTCACCGCATCT